TCGCTTTCTGTCTCTCTCTCTTTCTGGTGAGTGCATGAGCCCTATAGCAAAAACCTCTAAAAAAAAAAAAAGAAAAAGAAACAAAAAAAAGTGACGTTTTTTAAAATTTAACTTTATTTATTTACTTATTTTAATTTGACCAGAGAGGGATAGAGGGAGAGAAAGAAGAAAAGTGAGAAAGCCACAGGTCCGGGACTCGAACTACAGTCAGCCATATGGGAGCCCAGCGCCCTTAACCACCATGCCACCTGCCAGCCCTCCTTTTTTTTTTTTTCAAAGAGATTTTTGCTTTAGGGTACGTGCGCTTGGGGGAAAGACAGACGGGAAGTGAGAAATCACCTCCCAGGGGGATAGCCACGTTACAATCCCTTCTCCACTCTCTTCTCAGGACTTTGGGCAGGCACACACACATGCCTGGTGTGTTTTAAGCCACCAACTCCGGGACTAACACCACAGTTGGCTACATGGGAGTCCAGCGACATAACCATTATGTTATCTGTCCCTGTAAAGGTGACATTTGAACTGAGGCCTGAAGGAAACTAGGAGTGAGCCATGTATTTTTGGGGGGAGAAGCCCAGAAAGGGAACGGAGCAAACGGGCAGGTGCAGAGGCCCCGGGGCAGGGGTTCTTGGTGTGCTGGAGGAAGGCTAGGGTGGCTGGAACACGCTGAGACACGGAGAGGCCACTAAGATGGGCCGTGTTCTGTAGGGCTTGGGGGTCCACTCTAAGCATTTTGGCCTTTACTCTGAGCGAGGTAACTGGTGAACAGATTCATCTTCCCCTTTAAGGAATGGATAGGTTACACCAAGTTAACACGGTCTGCCATACCTGTATCACCATACTGCATTTTAGATCATCGTTGCTTAAGGCTCATTAGTAATTATAATAATGACTATAATTATAATCACAACTAACCTTTATTAAGCCTTTATTACACTCCAAATCCCTAATGTCCAAAACAGTGGCTGGTATACCCCAGGTGCTTAATAAATGCTGGTTAAACAAAGGAACAGATCTGGAACCAGAAGAAAAGATGGAGAGATCACTGTTTAAGGCAGGGGGTGCAGGGTGACCAGAATCTGGGAGGTGAGGATGTTCAGGTAGTTTGGATGGAGGGGAGAAGGCCTCCTGGGGGAAAGGAGTGAAGTCTCCTTGTGGGGGCTCTGAGTCCCTGGTTTCCCTGGAACCTCATTCGGTCCCCCACTCTCCAGCTAGCTGTCCTGGTTCTCATAATCCTCCCTGATTCCCTTCTTTCTTTCCCTTTTTTTTTAAAAGAATTATTTATTGATTCCATTTGGTATTATTTTTTCATTTGACCCCAGAGAGAGAGAAAGGGAAAGGGACTCAAACCGTGGTCGGCCATGTGGGAACCCAGCACCTTTAACCGCCAGCCACCTGCTGGCCCACCCCAACTCCTTTCTTTCTTTCTGCCCACAGGACCGGTGAACTCAGAGCTGTTCCTACGCCACGTTCCTGGATGGCTGCGCCCACTTTTGTGCCCACTGGCTTGGCTGGTGCTCCGGGCACCAAAAGGGGGTGCCCAGACACCCCTGTACTGTGCTCTACAAGAGGGCATTGAGCCCCTCAGTGGGAGATACTTTGCCAACTGTCGGGTAGAGGAGGTGCCCCCAGCCGCCAGAGACGACGGGGCAGCTCAGCGGCTGTGGGAGGTCAGCAAGAGGCTGGCAGGGCTTGGGCCTGGGGAGAACACCGAATCCGATCAAGACTCCCAATCTGAGGACCCAGGGACCCCACCTTCTCTAAGCACCCCTCACCCTGAAGAGTCCACGATTTCCAAACCCTGTTTCAACTCTCAGAGCTCACCAGACCCATCTAAGGTGACACGCCGAATTCAGCTTAAAGCTGGGCCTGAGACCCAAGTCTCCTAACCCCAGGCTGGAGTGTGTTCCATCCCCATTTCATGGCCTTGAAAACCGCAGCTGTACCAGGCCCAGCCCAGACACTGAGGGACTGACAGTGTTTAGCCCGGTGGTTGCATTCTGGGGCCTCAAGTTCTGTCCAGGACAGCCCTTTTCCTTGGTAAGGAGGGTGATTTTTCTTCCTGAGTTGACAGGAATCCCTGGTGGAGGACTGGGGTAACGTGCCCAGCGCTGTGCTGCTCAGGAATTGGAATGCCACATTTCCAGGCCCCATCCCGAGTGATCTGATCAGGTGTGGCGCTGGACTGGGAGCTGGTAATCTGAAGCACGATCAATCTCGAGTGTTACCTGAGCCCTTTGCAGCCATCCCGCTAGGTAGTTAAATGACCCCCGTTTTCAGAGCCGGTTAGGCTGGGGGTAAGGGACTCACCCAAGGTCTCTCATCTACTAACAGCAGGGGCTTTGAACCAGGTGCCAGGGCGCCCTGCCGGGCGCTGAGAGGGGCCAGACAGTTGTTACCGAGGCGTCCCGTGCCAGGGGAGGACGCCCGCCAGGGTGCTCCAGGGCTGGGCGGCGAGCTGGAGCCCGGTAATAAAGCGTGCCGACTGCCGAGGCTCTCGCGCTCGTTCCTGCCT